AGTTAGGAAACATCTTTAACATTTATTCAAAATCTTCCATGATTTTCTTAGCACATTCTTGATTTTTTTTTTAAATGATCAAGCAACATTGTTTTCATTCTCATCCATTGTGTCTTTGTGCAAATTCATTGCCTTTGATGTTGACGTAGAAAAAATTGAAAGATTAATGATTTGAATCCAAGAAATCAGATCATTTTTGTGCTGTTTTTCAAGAGAATGAACTAGAAAAAGGCATATTTATATTTAAATTCATGAAAAATGGAATAGGCAAAACATTTTTCCTAAACTATACCTAAAAGGACTGCAATAACAAAGGGAAAGGGATTTTCTTGAACTGGGCATTTTTAACATATGTTTTAAACTCTTATTACCATCTTTAAATTTTTATTTTTTTTATTTAAGCTCCAACTATTGCTGGATCAGACTCTTCACACCCACGTTCCTAATGCACTAAAATTATAAATTGGTGAGGATATTTTTGGTAACGCGGGAATTTTTGTGTTTAAAAGCCCCATTGTTGAATTCATTTGAAATAAAATCTCATTCAGAGTCCTTGAACATATCTTGCATTCCTTGGAAAACAAGAAAGCCCACGTTTTAAGTCTCAAACCAAACTTTCGCTTGAAATCATGTAACATGGAATGTCGATTCCCCAAAACAGCATCAGGACTCTCACAAGGATTAAAGCTGCTCCGCACCGCTGAAGTACAAACGAGCTTCCGAGTACGTTTAAGGAAAACCGTGCTTTATTTCTCATGATTCGCTCTTGAAATGACGTAACAGACTACAGTATATTAGGGGACTGCTTATTCGCTGCTTCAGAAAAGTCCATGAAGGCATGGCATAGCATCATTAATCCTCCATAATCTGGGAGGAAAAACGAGGCGGAAGAGACGAAACAATAAAACTGGGAGTCGAAGTTCCGCTTTTCCGTGGTCGAGAGAATTTTCCTGGTCGCGATGATGGTCCCAACAGCAGACGCAGCGAGAGGCGCCATCATATGGCAATGATGTGATGAACAACCGTTAACTGATGAGTTTTCGCTTCAGGAAACCGGCAAAGACTCATATATATAGTATTCCTTCCTTCAACATACTCAAACGTGCAGTTACTGTGTTGGAAGAATTACCGTACTGATGCTATTACATATATTTTTAACCACGATTCTGGTTGCTTCTCAGCCGTCTCTGGATCCCGTGCTGCGGAGATCGGAACGATTCGTATACAGGTGTCCATGCTTTCATCACAAACCACTGTGGAAGAAATAGTTACCGCGGGTGTGTCCCTGCCCCGCTGGTCAGTGAATTTTACATTTAGAAAAGAAAAACACGCTCGGTTGGGAATTTTGATTCTCTGGGACATCTAGACCAGCTGTACCAAAAAAGAGAGACAAAATCAGAATACGAAATAGTAATTTACCGTTTTTATCCGAGTATACCACGCGCACCTTTTTTCAAAATAATTGAGTAAAAAATTAGGAGCGCTTCATATCGGTTTGGGTACAAACGTTCAAGTGACATTTTTGAAAATTGGAAACTTTGTTTCCCACGCTGAGTTTTCCTTTTCAGACTTCTTTATTTTAATATTGATATCATTTTTATGAAAAAAAATACAGTATCATAATTGAATTCGATTTTCAAGTGGGCTTAAATTTATGTTTTTGCCCAACACAGCTTTTCCAATGGAGAATTTTGGTAACTGTAAACTGAAGTGTGCGTCTTTTATGCAGGAATGACAGCTTTTAAAATTTTTTAGCTAAAAATCTTGGGTGCTTGTTTTACCCAATTTATCGTGCGTGCTACCCAAGTAAATACAATAATTTAGAATTTTGCTGAAATTTTATCGATTATTTTTTTTGAAAGAAATGCGCTTAATGCATTGAGAAATGTCTCAATTTTTAAATAAGGAATTTAAATATGCCTCTTATCATGAAAATTAATTTTTATTGTTCAGCAATATTTATCAATATTAAAAAAAGGCATTCACAAAGTGGGAAAGGACTTGATTTCAAAATGTTCCCGGGGATTGGAACAATGCAAATTCAGGGCTGGGCTTCAGAAAGTTTTTTTTTTTTAACTTTTTCCGAATAATCTAACCACAAGTTTTGTTATTAGCTCCGGTCATAGAAATACATTACTACTCTTTTTGAATTTTGATGATTGGAGTGAATCAATCAAAATTGCTCAGCAATAGCTAGTAAAGTACCTCTGCATTTTTGAGGGCACAATAGGAAAGTGCGTGAAGTTCATCTCAATCGTCGGACCTCGCATTTCTGCATAGTAGTGTCAAACATTTCCGATTTACTTCCTCGAATTTATCATTGGAATGAGAGTGGAATTTTCAAGAGGAACCGCAAAAAAAAAAAAATCGGATGCTCAAAAGTTTATTCACACTCCTTCCGCGCTGGTTGAACGCGCAGCAATAATAAAGTCGGCGCTCATTTACAAAACGGTCCGCCGCGCGATGCCTTCTGACTGCTTTCCCCCGGTCTCGTCCCGGCAGCTCAAGATCGAGTTGAGTAAAAGAACACTTGACAGAATGAAAGAGAGAGAGAGAGAGAAATAAAATGGACGAATAGAAACCAGAGAGGACATGATGGAAGATTAAAAACAAAACAAAGAATTGCGTGAGAAGATTCTCCGGAGGCACCGTTCGGTCCATATGATTTCGCCGCACACGGAGGCAACGCTCGCACGCAAGCGGATTACAACCGCCACCCGCGCGCGCTTTGGCCGCCATCATATACTGTATATATCTACACGGGCAACAATTTTTATTCCGTGTTCGCCGTTCATTTCCGACACTGTGCAAAAATTCCACGTTTCTTCTCTGCTGTTGTTGTTTTTTTTTTCTTTCAAGCATTAGATACCTTGTTTCCCCCGTATATCCGAGATATTTTTTTTTTTTTATGAAAATCGTTTTCGCCGGATCCGCGGGGTTTATGAGTCCTGACTGCTGTGCTGAGGCCTTATTCGCGTGTGGGCGTGTTTCACTGCCATTATGCGGAGAGCGACGTTGTAAAAAGAACCTCCATGAAAACTCATTTCGCGTATCCGACGTTTAAAAAAAAGAGAATAATGAGAAAAGGTTTTCCGTTTGCGTGATCGTTTGATCGAGTTAGCGGGCTTTTATAGAATTACGCTGCTGAGTATATTCAGTCTTATTCCGGTGAATGCGAAAAGTTTGGTGAACTTTTAGCATGATAGGTCCCTCAGACTGACTGGATTAACCGACGAAGCCTGCTTTTTTTTCTAGCCATCAATTCCACTGACGGCTACTGTTTTTTATGCCACTGTATTCATGAAATGCTGCATACTGAATATGTCTGGCTGAAGCATAAGTGACCAAATTTCCTCCATTTATGATAAAAGGGAACTAACGACAGCGTTGGATCAATGCTTGGCTAAAATTGTAAAAGCGGAAAAGCGGCGGAAGTGTCGAATAATAAAATCCAAGCTAATCCTCAAGTTTTCGAAAAGACAGAACGGCAAATAATTACTCGAAAAATTTTCAGTGATTTGTGTAAATTAAAACAGTGTGTACTTCAATAACCCGTGATGGTCCAGGGACCGGAACTGGTCCGCAGAACTTTTTTGCGAATCGACAGGGAAATTTCTCCGTGCCGAAGTGACTTCGTTATAAATTGCACAAGCTGTGTCCCCTCAGTGAGCATGAAACAACATTTTAAATGAATTTGTTCCGGATTATATGTTGCAGTTGGGCGAATGAAATCACATTTTTGCTGATAAAGAAGTCACAGAAGAGGTTTAATTGTAATTCATGCAAATAGTTACGAAGTTTCAGGTGGTTCTTGAACCTTTTTTTTTTTTTTGGAAACACTACTCGTGTGTCTCACAAATTTAAGACATTTTGATGAAAATAAGATCAATAAGAGCTGTGAATGCTTTAAAAACTAAGAATTAAATATTATGCCAATTCTGCTCGTCCGCATGTCCAAAAATGTTGAGGAACACTAGCCTAAATTCTAAGGAACTGCATAGTTTGATTTCAAAAGTTTTGTAAACAAATGACTATTTTCAAAATACTGACGAGAAATGTAGTGGTTGATCAGGTAACTTCATGTTTAGGATCTTTTCATCCGATTGTTCTCAGTACAATTTGAGAATCTTAGAATTACAGTATTTGAAAATTTTCATTTCCTGGAATGAAAAATTCCGAAGTACTGTATACCCAAATATTGTTATGAGTTTTTGCCTTTGAATGCACTCTGTGGCCTTCTTTTTTTTTTTGCGCAGAAATTGTGCATGGCGGAAAAAATAATAGATTTCTGAATACATTTGAAGCTGCTTGAAAGAACTTTCAGTTCGAGCTATGGTGCTCACATTCGAACTGTGTGTTTTTCAATACAGTACTGTAATTCCTAACTTGGAAATCAATGCATTCGTTCAATAAGGCGTAGTTCATCGTTCATCAAGAGAAGTTACACATGTAGGAAACATGGGGAAGAAAATTATCTGATGGGGAAAATGACATTGCTCGATTTTTTCAAGCTAAGCAAACATTTGCATTGCAATTCATACATTGTTTTCAAGCTAAAAAAAAATTGAAACCCCCAATAATGGCAACCTATAACCCACCTATAACCCACTGCTGACTTATTTTTTTACGAAAGTCTCTTTGATTTAAAGGGAAAATGCCTAAATCTTTTGTATACTCCACATGATCGCTTATTCTGGTGGAACTTAGAAGGATGTACACTTTCTAGTTTTCTATCAAAACAGGGGTTGTAACAACAAAAATTTCGTCGATAAATACTGTGAGCAAGCTTACAATTACTGTACATTCACCTGCGAATCAAACTCTGTCATTAAAATCCGATCACCCGTTCCCGAGGTGATAATTCCCAAATCTTTTCTGAATTTTTATGTTCAACTGCACACTTTCTAACTTTTTGTCAATTCATGCGAAACCGGCCTCAATTCATTCCGGAAAATATTTGCGGTTTTCGTTTCTTTTCGTGCTGGGTTAGACGAAGGACGATGAGCGGAATAAGCTTGGTAGTGTGTGCTTGTGCTCTGTTCAGCCTGGGCTCGGCTACAATCTTCATCAGCCAAGCGAAACAAGACACAAAAACTGAAGAAGTCGCAAAAACAGCTGGGAAATCCAGCGAATCTCTGCGGCCCTGGACCGTGGGGAAAATCGACGATGGTGAGTCAAAATAGTAAAAAGGAATATTTTTAAAAATTAAGAGAAAATTACCAATTAATATCTCGGACCTCGCTCTTGGAACATTATCATTGATCATCGGAACCAACCCTATGATAGGGTGTTCCCGAACCCGTGGTCCGCGGATCAGCGCTGCTGGTACACAAAAGTTTTCTTCCTGGTCCATGGGAAATGCTCTTCAGCATACTGTAATGAATTTATTAAAAGTAGCAATGAAGTCTGTTATCTTTATCTAAAATCGTGAGAAGACAATGGCGGTTGAAATTCTATGGTGGAAAATTAAAGTTGGCTTTTCTCTTAATAATGCTTCAGATAAATTTTCTTTTACTGAAATAAATTATTTTGACTTTCAATTCTGAGAAACCTTTCTTCAACCTCAGGTTTATAATTTATTTGAAGACATTCCAGCTTCTTTATTCATTCTTAACTCAATTTTTGCAAGAAGCAGAAACATCCCATAAAGTTTTTCAAACAAAACTTTTTAGAGTCTGCAAACAATTTCTGAAACTTTGCCGGTCTGCAAAGATTTTATTTTTTAATTTGTCTGTCCGCGGGCCCAAAAAGCTTGGGAACACTGCCCGAGGGAATTCTTCTGTTCACATTGGGTAGTGCACCGTAACAATAATACGAGCATCTCAAGATACAGAATTTCAAATTCGCAATAGAAATCAAATTATCAAGAGGAGTGATGAAGTACTTTTTTCTTACAATGAAACATGACAGAGACATCAATGCTTTTGTCAATTAAAGTTTCTTTGAGAGATTGAATAATGAATACAAGAAACGTCTAGCACAAGTATTATTAACAGTCCCTGAATTTCAAATATGCGCAGTTCGGATAATTACTCTTTAGCGGAAAACAAAGCGATTAAACAATATTTCCAGTACTGTATATACAGGCCACTTTCTTCGCTGACAATAAATCAAACTTTTCTCACTGAATGGTGCTCTTAAAAACTAATCCAATCGTCAGATTTATCTAATACCAAGGTTTCAGACACTTTTCAATAAACGCAAAAGTGCAATTGGAGGATGGTTTTCAGAGAGTACTGTATATGAGAAGCCTGCTTTCCCAAATCACTCAAGTTCTCAAAAATGAAAGTGTCTTTCTTTTTTGTCTTTGATTTTATTTCAAATAGAGCTCAGAAAAGCCAAGTCCTACGAATCCACGTCAGATCGCCAATTTACGTCTTATTCCTCAAACCGACAGCCTTCGCTGATTGGGAATCACAAGGGCATTTACCAGCACCATCCTGCTGCCGGCACCTATGGTTACGAGGATATTTTCTCGCAGCTGGCTCAAAGCCCTTCTTTGCAGGTCAAAATCCGAGATAAATACATTAAATTATAGTTCCTGGAAGAAAAAAAATCAAACAAGGCATCGAACCGTGATTAATCGCGTCGCTTTTAGGGCCCATTATCGATGCTTGTTCACTTAGTTTCATAATGAGTGATTGGCAGGTGTTGGGGCATTAGTGCATCTGCGAGATTGACCTGAAAAAGCTTTCCGATTATTGCAGCAAGGGTGCTTTTCAAATGCACGCAGAAAGGATTTTTCATCCAGAAAAGCTAGAAGGCACTTGATAACGGAGACAAACATGGATCGTGAATTTTAATTAGTTTTGCACGGAATTATTCATCGAAAAAATAAAATGGTGAACATTATTTGATCACGTTTGGTCAATGCGTCAGGAATATTGTGTTGTTGAGACGATCGTGATTTGTATTATGAGCGATTCAAAATATGAAGAGTGAATGTTAATTTTATTCGAGACATTAACGGTGACCGAAACCCACAATTCGCGGGTTATTTTCAATATAACTTTTTTTCAAGTTTTCCGCAGCATTATGAGTAAATGACTCGAAGATGAAAGATGAATGACTTATGTGCTCAATGATGACTACTCTTGTTTGGGGATACCTTTTTTCATTTGTCAATTAAATAATGCTTATTTAATTAAGCATTATTTAATTGTGTAGAAGTATTTAATTGTGAAACTGAAAGACACGTCAGCGAAGCAAATAAAAAATGAAGTATCCAAGTTTGAGGGTCATAATAGCGATTAAACAGATTCTGTCGAGCTGTTTTTTTTTAGCTAATGCAGAATTCCATGAAGACCCCAGCCTGCACAGAAAAATAAAATCTTCATGAAAATCTGATTTTAAAAGTTATTGATTCGAATTATGGCGAGCTTCCGATATTAAGAACATGATATCGATGTCACAGAGGACGAAGATTGATGATTTTGATTTTCTGTTTTATTCTCAAAGCGAAGAATTACACTGCTGACTTGAACCGGATATAGACACGAGTAATTTTCGCATTGGTCCGGATTTTGCAAATTCAAGATACATTATGAACTGATGAATGCTAAAAAAAAATGCTTTGATGATAGCAGTTGGACGTCAGCACGGTTGGCAACTATTTCCACAGTCCGCAGTTGGCCTCATCGCATCAAACTCAGCACCAATCTCCGTTTGCTCATCGACTGCACCCGAGTTCAGTTTCGGTCCACGACTTACCGACGCCATTTCCTCCGGAAGTGGACTTCAACACCAACGACAATAATAATAATAATAATGGCGAGCATGGTTTCGGTGATTCTTTAGACTCCAAAAGCAGGATTGACGATCTACAGTTCGTTGGTAATCAGCGCATCGGCATCGCCGACCTCAGTGAGCAGTCGAAACCTCGTCTCTCGGAACTCACACCTTTTTGTATAAAAATTATATCGTATTCTTCTTATAGAGACTGTATTTCCACACATAACATCAATTCCACACAAAAACAACAAAAAATTAAAACCCCAAAATTCGGTAAGCTTCCGAAGGAAAGCTGTACATAGACACTTGATTAAATCGTAATTCAGTTGAACTGGAATGGAATACAATTGGACCTCTTTAACTGAAACTTCTCTAACTCGATGTGTGATGCAGGCTTTTTCCTAATCCTTTCGAAAATAGTGTCAACAGAACCTCCCAATTCGAACCTTTCACTTGAACCTTATATCTCTAACTTGAAGTTTTTCAACACAGTAAAAGGACCCTCTAATTATCCTCTAATTTTTTTGAAGGCAAGGAGCCGCTGTAATTTAACATTACATCCTCCCGACTCAATTAAACCATTTTTCTGGGCCACGAAACTCATTCAGACAACTGTTTCCTACACTTTGGCGACTGTTTTTTTTTATGTGCAATTTCTGACTGATTCAAAAACGACATCTCAGTGTAACCATCTCAGCTTCAGGATGCAACCGAGTGTTTTTGTTTGTCATTGCACCAAGAGGATTCGGATTTTTATTCCTGAAATATACGCCAGACCAACGATCAAACAGTATTCCATTTCCAAAATTTTCATAAATAGTCAAAAATCGTCCCTAATTCAAGAACTCCCAGGATCATATTTTTCTGTTCGTCTCTTACAGTTTGACTTCAGGAGGTTCAATTGTTGTTCATTTCCAGAAATGTTCTTGGCGTTAAAATCACTAGACTGAATGGACGGAATATTTTTGTTATGAAAGCGCCTGAAAATTTTGCAATATTTATATTTGCGTCTCAAGCAGAAAAGAAGCTTTCGGCATTTTCGAAAAAATGCATTTGAACCTTCAGCCCGGACGAAAAAGGTTCCGGTACATTCTTTTCTATTTTTCCCCATTTCTCAGTCCTCAGATTAAACGGAATACGAAGGTCACTGAAAAAATTGAATGAAATATTGTAGATCGTGTCAATTTTAGCCCCGTAAATCCGTTTTACCCGAAAGGGGAAACGCATTGAAAATGAAAACACTATTCTTGCAGAAAATCGGTTTCATATTCTTCTTCTAGAACTTTCCGGGGATTTCCAAATGATAATCGCAATGTTGAATTATACATTGAGACATCTATGATATACTAAGGTGTAGACCTTGTTTCGCTATACAGTTTGAGGCAAAACCCTCGAAAATTTTCTGGTGTGAGTCCTTGGGATGGCTTCGCTCGCTGTCTTTTGTTTATATTTATTTTTTACTAGAAAAAAGTAGAATATTTCCTGAAAACACCAAAGTGGTGTAATTTTCTTTCCTTTCTCTCGTTGTCGACATTATGGCGAGGATGTTGTGAAGAGTGGTTCATTTCCCCGAATATATAGCTGGGTCCGGAAACGAGAACACCAGGGAGCGGCCGTTGACAAGCAGCGACGATGTCCAGCAACAGCAGCAGCAACAGCAGCAGCAGCAACAGCAGCAGATTCCAGCACAGCAGTCCTCAGGTGATGCGTCTGAGATGTATCGTGAGTATGTCTATATACTAGTACGCAATATACAAGGGTTGGTTCATAAGCTTTGAGACCTTTTTGAAAAAGACCCAAGCAGCAGAGTTTCAACAACTTCAATTTTTTTTTACTCACATAGCCTCATCATTTGGCAACACTTTGGTGCTGTTCAACAGACTCTCAGCCGATTTCAATGCATTTTTTCATGCGACGAATCCAAGGATCGAAACAGTGCCAAAAATCGAGTTTACTTAGTTACGTTGATTAAGCTGCTCTTCGACGGCGTAAATGAGGATTTCCCTGTCCTCGAAATTAATATTTTTCAGGTCGTTCTTTACTGTCAGGAAAAGCAGCCAGAAGTCACAGGGACAGGGTGCCTAATAAAATAACATAACTCGATTTTTGGCAACTGTTTTTATCGTTGGATTTATCGCATGATAAACTGTGTTGAAATCGGCCGAGAGTATGTTGAACAGCACCGAAGTGTTGCCAATTGATGGGGCTATGCAAGGGAATTTTTAATTTTTTTTTTTGGAATTGCTGAAACTCCATCGGACCTATTTTGAAAAAGTCTCTTAACTTATGAACCAACCATCGTATTCCTCTCTCTCTCTCTCATTTTCTCCCTCCTGCACCATCACCATTAGAACTAAAATAACTCTGTCAGAGCTCACCAACTTCATCGCAGCAAATCCGTCAACATTCATCACAATCCACCCTTTCTTCCCTCTCACTTTCTGTCCCCGGTGCTGTCAGGAACTTCTGCTGTGGATGCTTTTCAGGGAGAAACTCTCCACTGAGAAAGTGATTCTTCCGGAACTTTTATAGTGTCATTGCGAGGCTTAAGAAATGAAAAAAGGTATCTATAACTTGTGCATTTATAAAAAAAAATCCAGAGTATTTTGTAAAAGCGACTCACCTCCAATCGAGGAAGTTAAATCCATTTTTGTGTCACGCGCGGTTTATTTTTATTCTAATAGCAAATGTTTCAGTTAGTTTATTCACTGCAGTAGTGAAGACAAACAGGAGTTTTCAAGATTTTTTTTTTACACATACAGACCCTTAATTAGAAGTTAATAAGGCACAGCTGGTATTTTTAATGCGCTGTGAATGAGGTTCGCAACTTTTACATAAATCGAATTGAAGGCAGGAATGTGACCGAGAGGAATAATGAAATTAAATTCGACTATTTTGTGTAATTTTAACAACGTTACTTGAATAGTAAAAAAATCTAAAGTGCAGTACATTATAGTCAAACAAATTGCAATTTATTAGAACGAGGTACGGCCATTGTCAGCTGATGGAATGTATTGTACTCGGGCGGTCATTTCTTGCGATTGATAAAATCGTGGGAAAAGTTGAAAAGACCTTATTATAGGAATTCCATAAGTATTAATTAAGTATTAATTATTATTAAGTATTAATAAGCACATCTCGATAAAATTTTGACTCTCTAGCATTTGATGACCTCATAGTAACAGCAGAGGTGCACTTCATATAATTTATGGTGCAGTAATTTCACGTTGATTAGTTTCGCGGGTGATGAAAATGCATTTGTCTGAACTCTCTGGATAATATGGTAAAATGTGTAGAAAGGTTCAAACACTCTGAACTGATCGTTCTTTTGCTTTGACGTTCTTTTTTCTTGGGTTGTGGACAACTCAAATAAAACTGTAATTTTCTGTAGATTCTGTAATACAGCTTGAAAACTTAATTAAGCTGCGAGAGGAGAAAATCAGTGCTCTACACGGCATGCGTGTCAATGAGTACTACCGTTCGTTCCTGCTAACAATGATGAATGCAAATTGCCGCAGTCACTAGATAAACAGATCGTCGTCCTTCAAGTTTAGAAAGTTCATTTGAATGTACTGCAGTACATGAAAGGAACTATCTTGATGAGTCCTCACTTCACTGCTAATAACCAGCCGAGCTTCTCGCTTCAAATTGCCTGCTTGAAGGCACTGTACTGTACTTGCAGGAAGATTGCTTTGTCCATCACAGTCATCCTCTGAGTGACACTGACTCCCGAGTGAAGCATTTCGTTTTCCTGTGAATATTCATTATTCTGCTTATCGAATCACATCTTTATATTTTTTTCTTTTATGTGTGAATTATCTGCATAGGTTATGGCCTTGAGAAAAAAATGGCGAGCGGAACCTAAAACCGTCGACAATTTTTACGACGAACTACAGTATAAAATATATCAAGTGCACAGTAAAACCCCGTTCCTGGAATTGCGCTACCTTTCCTCTCAGGGTTACTCGAAGTTTATTTAAAAATAACGATGTACGATACTTCAGAATTTCATAATATAAGTGTTTTAATGTAAAGTTGGAGACGTACAGTTGAATACCTGTTCAGTTGAAACGTAACCTATTCTTGAAAAAAGTCGACGTTCTGTGAAAACATTGTCGAAATGAACAAGGGATCAACGCCAAATTATAATCCGTCCCACATTTTGATTAATTCCAGCTCCTTGTTGGAACCATGAAAAACGTTTGGATGTGTTTATCGTCACATTCCCTACGGATTACGAGTACAGTATTAAGAATAATAATTAACATTCTGAATTAATAAATTCGAATAAATCGAAATACTGTTCTGTAAAGTAAATGAAGCCTGTGTATACACCATGTTTCTTCAGCAAATTTGCATTGAATACGGTAGCTGTTGCTATTTCCAAAAGTCTATGAACTCAAAGAAGCATTCCCAAAAATTTTACGTATTACTGCATCAGCGACGCCAGAAGAATAGAATTAAAATCGCATAAAAAAACGAATGGAAATAAATTTACCGTACAACCGTTTCTGCTTCTGAATGACGAATGCTAATGACATGGAGATAAAATGAGCCTTTGGGAGGAAAAATACTGTTTCTCCCCAGTACAGTTGGACATCAGCACACGTACATTTCCGTTTCGGACAAAAGGGGATACATTTTTGCTTCAGTAGCGCGGGCAAACATGATGAGAGTAGTTTTTTTTTCATATCAGCGGACTGGACTGGAATTACAGCTTTGGGGTTTCAGAATTTATTGTACTCCTCAAACCCTCTAGTACTCAATCTGTTCTCTAACTTCACGACGATAACAAGACCCCCCCCCCCCCAACATGGGGATGCGAGGCGCAGAAAAGACGGCAGAAATCCCACTCCTAATTATACTCGAGAGCATTTAATCTCAGCCGGCATATTCTCGCCTCCCCATTTATATATAAAGCAAAAGGAATAGTCTCATCAAGGGCAAAAGTAGAGCACTGGTTCCCAGATCCAATTTCACGCTCGTGAAGCTATAATGACTTTTCAGAAGAATCCCGCGTGTTTTTGTTCTTCTTTTTTTCGGTGGAACAGGGCAAATATTGCGGTACGTTTCGGAAGGAAACTTTTTTCCGGACAACCGGTTCAATATGTACGCGGATGCGGCTTTGAACAACCTCGTCGTCAGCATTTTGGAGCACGACAATGACCCTCTTGTATTCAACATTTTCTCGGAGAATAACCGAGTTGAGTGAGTATCTTCCCAACATCACACATATTCTTCCGATTTTTTTCCTTTCAAATTTTTTCCCCAACGATAATTCGTACAAAAGTCGCAGAACATTCACTGAATTGGGGCGTTGATCGCTTTTATGATAGCATTCATTTTAACGCTCGTTACTTTAAAAGAGCAATTACTTTGAAACGACTGTACTCCGATTTCATTTAATTCCTTTATAATTGACAAAAGTGCGCTTGTCAAGGAAAGCGAAAGCATTGACGAGAGTAAATTGGACCAATTTTCAAACAGAATTATCTCCTCGACAGTTTGAGCAAATGGAAAGTGTTTTGGAACGTTCTGTGCTTTATTTTCGGAAATTTTCATTTTTCGGGCTTCAGTTACGTCGAAATGGCCATACCGGACATTAAAAAAAAAAAATCACGGATTAACCACAGATTAAGATTTCTTACGTCGTTTAAAAGGGTTTATTCGTGAGAAGAATGTCATATTTTCGCAAGCCTTTCACAGAGAACTTCGAGAATAATGGAAGAATATTCTATTGTCGGATGAAAATATCTTTAAATTTTGAGAAAAAAATTCTCAGGCGGACGAAAAAAATATAACATAATGCAGCTTCCTCCTATCTTCTCATGTGTAGTGGAAGAAAACAAATGAATTCCTTTTGGAAATGTTTATGTTATGAGGGATTTTTTCCTCTAAATCAGAAATTAATAAATATACAGTATGTATTTTTAAATTAATTAGCACTCCCTGTGTTTAATTAATTGATGAATAAATTTCCTTGTCTGCGATATGCGTGACTGCTGCAGTGTGCTTCTTAATATTTGAGATTAGGGAAATCCAAGTGAAACCTGTCCGAACATTTCGTCTACATCTACAGAATGCTGAAAAAAAATTCAAATTATATTTTGAAAATATGCGAACAGAGGCTTGAAGATTTCGTCGGAAAAATTGAGACACTGTTTGTAATATCTTCAGTTTTTTTTCGGAGCATCCTTTGATGCGATTCCTTTCAATGTTCCTCACTATGATGAGGCAGAAAATTGCGCGTCCGTTCAGCGGTTCTGTCATCATTCCGCCCGAAAATTTAGGTTTCTCAGCTCGGGGTTGACTGTAGTTCTTGTCCAATTTCAGACCAAGTACAGTGGTAACGATCTTGGGAAGGAAGAAACGAATGGCGACGCCAAATGAAATCGTGGGAAGTAAAACCGACAAAATACCCGAGAAAGTGAGCAAATAACTGGTCGGATGACAATGGGTGGTGAAACACCATGTCTCACACGAGGAGCACTTGTTTTCTGTAATGTGTAGCACGCATTCCCAACATTTTCCAGATATTCTTCCCTGGGAATGACGAGCATGAAATGACAAGAAGTGGGAAACAGCTCACACTCAACAACAATAACAACAACAATCGCAACAATCGGAACCAGTTGATTGGATCTGGTGTAATCACGGGACTCAGTAATGTCACGAGATACGATGACGCAGAGATTCGAGTCCCGGATCCAACTCGAACATTGGCAAGTTTTTAATTACAATTCTTTATAAATAAAAAATCCTAGGGTGTCCCGAATTACGAAAGATGTCTGAAAAGAAATTTTCAATACCTCGAAAAGAATTCCTTAGCTTACTTTTGCGGTCAGAATCCTCCGAACTACCATCTAATCAATGAGAAAATAACGAATTGAAGCAAGACTATGTTCATATATTGCTAAAAATATTCTCGGATAGAATTTTTTTCTTCGTACACCTGTTTGAGCATGCACTGGACTTTTTAGGACAACCTTTACATTCAGCATCACTAAGACAAGAAGTTGAAGGATAAAAAACATCGTTTCGGTTCGAATTTTATTTTCAGATGTAAAAAAATCCTACTAAAAATAGCATACTTTTAATCATTTTTACTCGTTCTTTCATTGCTGTTCCGTATTTCTTAATACGAATGAAAGTTCATGACTGGCAATTAAGGAAGGTCAAGCCCATTCTAGAGTTTTCCAAAGACTNTTTCGTCTACATCTACAGAATGCTGAAAAAAAATTCAAATTATATTTTGAAAATATGCGAACAGAGGCTTGAAGATTTCGTCGGAAAAATTGAGACACTGTTTGTAATATCTTCAGTTTTTTTTCGGAGCATCCTTTGATGCGATTCCTTTCAATGTTCCTCACTATGATGAGGCAGAAAATTGCGCGTCCGTTCAGCGGTTCTGTCATCATTCCGCCCGAAAATTTAGGTTTCTCAGCTCGGGGTTGACTGTAGTTCTTGTCCAATTTCAGACCAAGTACAGTGGTAACGATCTTGGGAAGGAAGAAACGAATGGCGACGCCAAATGAAATCGTGGGAAGTAAAACCGACAAAATACCCGAGAAAGTGAGCAAATAACTGGTCGGATGACAATGGGTGGTGAAACACCATGTCTCACACGAGGACGAGCACTTGTTTTCTGTAATGTGTAGCACGCATTCCCAACATTTTCCAGATATTCTTCCCTGGGAATGACGAGCATGAAATGACAAGAAGTGGGAAACAGCTCACACTCAACAACAATAACAACAACAATCGCAACAATCGGAACCAGTTGATTGGATCTGGTGTAATCACGGGACTCAGTAATGTCACGAGATACGATGACGCAGAGATTCGAGTCCCGGATCCAACTCGAACATTGGCAAGTTTTTAATTAATTTCTTTTTATAAATAAAAAAAAGACTAGAGTGTCCCGAATTGCGAAAGATGCCTGAAATGAATTTTCAATACCTCGAAAAGAATTCCTTAGTTTATTTATGTAGTCAGAATCCCATTAACTACCATCTAATCTATGAGAAAATAGCGAATTGAAGCAAGACTATGCTCATTTATTACTAAAAATATTCTCGACTTGAATTTTTTTTCTTTGTACACCTGTTTGAGCATGCACTGGACTTTTTAGGACAACCTTTACATTCAGCATCACTAAGACAAGAAGTTGAAGGATCAAAAACATCGTTTCGGTTCGAATTTTATTACCAGATGTAAAAAATGCCTACTGTATTTTTATCGTATGAAAATTAGTAAAAATGAGCAAGAAAGTAACGACAAGGCATAAAGAATTATGCTTACTTTCAAGTACTGACCGTTAATTCCTTCCAGTTCGGGTAAGATCTCAAAAGGTTTCTGATTGGAACAAAAGGGAAGAATTTTACAATATTATTCTTTGAAAATGTGAAGCATATTAATGCATCGCGCGAAGTTCGCAAGACTGACGGACGGTCTGCTCTTGAATTGCAAAAATCTTGGTCCAACCCGCGTATTTCTAGTGCAGGTCACGCGGAAGATTTTTCGCACTTCTGTGGAATGACTTTAAAGTATCATACAGTACAAGAATTGCGAGAAAAGAAACGTTAGTTATTGTTTTGTGTACACGCAAAAAATGCTGCGGATAAAGCGCAACATATGCTTAATTGTGGAATCTAGCGGAATTTGTGCACAGTACTTGACGAAAATAAATGTTTATCGATCGATTTTGCATTTCTGAAGATTAAGACAAAGGCCCACATCGGACCAACGCAAATGACCCTTAATCTGAACACTCTCCAACGGCGGAGGAACGGAATCATGCAAATCCTGATTCCGCCGAATCGAGATAATGCGGAAGAGCGACAACGAGAAATCCAGATCGACATTCCTGCTTTCCCCATCACAATAGTGTCGGCTGTGACAGCGTCCGGTTCCGCGCTGGACGACTTCGAGATGCTTCCGTGAGTGTTTTCAGAGTGTACTATATAGTGTGGTACGGATGTGCACCGTTCACTGAGTTTCCTCTTACATGCTTCAAGGGAAATATGACGTGAAATCATGCAAGTTACAATCTGCACTCATGTATCTGCATGACATTACGTCTGCAGTCGGCTAGTCGTCTATGTCTTTAAACTCGAACGCAGGAAATAAAACATGAAAATTCTTGGCATTCCTCAAATGTATACGCCTGGGTCATGAAAAGATGACGCGCTTTTGGGAAACTGGATCAAATTTTGAATGTGTCATATTTCTTACATCAGAGCCGGAGTGAATACCATACACGCATTATTTTTCGTATTGAAGAAATAATAGCATATTTAAACATGTTGCTCATGTGTTTTCAAACTGTTTTATTAAAAAAAGTCGTCCATTTCGAGCGGTCAACAAACGACGTGTTTCGAGACTTTTCCAATTGAAATTATCCCTTTCAATTTGATAATTCTGTAGAATATCTGCCTGATCAAATATGTCTACCCTCTCTCCTTGTTACCTAGAAGCCGATTTAGGAGAAGTATTGAATTGTTGACTGGAATACTTGTAAATAAGCTGTTATGTAAAATATGGGTATTTTGGCCTGGAGAGTTACTAAAAACGCTGAGCAGCATTTTCGAAAACCGGCTAACTTTTACGTTAAATACGAGCGACATCTAGTTGAGAGTCTGTATACCTCAAAAAGCGAAGTTGATGCTTTGCTCGGCACGTGATGCAACATACTGTACAATTCAACTGCTGCATTAATTTAAATACTGTACCACGGAGATACAGCATGAATATGAATTCCAAGTCAAAGCCATTTTTGTCACACAAATTCATGTAGAAATCTTTAAACTTCATATACTTTACATGTACAGTATTTTCATTGCAGTCTAAAAAGTAAGTTTTATAGCTGCAATTTACAGAATATTCACTAGATTATCGCTGCTATATTCTCCTCAAAGGTTTTTATTTAAAGCGCACATCGTCAATCATGATGCAGTAAATTTGAATACAAAATTACGCGAATTAGAGGATTGGTAAGAGAAATTCACACATTATTCGAAAGCAACCGGAAAACGTTCTTTGGTTTTGTATGCGAAACTCTGCATGCACGCAAGAAAATACTTCTTCTGTTAAATAGCGATTCAATCACGGTACATATTTTTCAACTGACTGAACACTATTTGCAAAATATTGTACTGTATCGCAGTCACCCTGATCGGATTTACTGACATTTCTTCATACCTACATGTACCGTGCTCAATTTTCTTCCGAAATAATGAATGAAACAACAAGGTTTGCTTCAAGTTCAAGTCCAATGTTACGTAATTTTTACCATAATTGATTGATTCAATATTCGATATTAGTCGAATAAAGCATTCCATTAGTTTTTGCTAGCTATAAAAAGTTTCGAATTTAATGGTTTATCGATTTTACTCTTTATATACTCTTTCCATATGTAGCTCTTGGTTTACTTTCACGAACATCTACTCAGGCATAGAAGAAGGTTCATCAACAGCTTTCGTAATTTTTGTTTTTAAAAAGTAAGGAAAAGGCTGTTGGTGCATCCAAATTTAAAATTTGTTTATAATATGCACATTTATTACTTCTAAGAGTTCTAACCCAAGATGATGAGCCTCTCACGCAGGGAAAAAATTTTTTCAGACAAACGAGGGAGCGTACCTCGTACATCATGGCACGTCCCTATGCTAAAAAAAAAAACGTAATATTTTCATTTAAATTTTCGAAGGTCTCGGAAAATCGGAGCTTATTACAAAACCTTAGTGTTATTAGCATTAAAGTAAAAGGAAGGGACTGTCGTAGCTGTACCGTTCCGACTTGTACTGGAAGGGTAGGCTGCAGTGGTGGTTGGCTCGGTCCCTTGTTTGGCTGCACGACCAGTGCTTCTTCATTGTGCAAAACGCCTTTTCCACGGCGGGTTTCATGCAGGAGCGACTGCGACGATACGCGAGTTTGGCAGTCGACTCCCGGATCCATCGCTGATTTTCATCCCGAGCAATTCATAATCCCTTCTCTCGCTTTTTTTTTTCTTGTGCTGAAGACCAGTCTCATAAAAATCGGTTGATATTTTTGCCATCAAGGCTCATCCGAAAAACAGTTTTGTAATTTTCATGTGAGGGTGTGTGAGACGAAATGAGTTGTGAGTTTCTGACCTGATGGCTGCCGGCTTCCAACGACCTTGGCGCCTTACTTGATATATGCAGCTTCGGAATGATTCGTGCTTGAAAGTGTATTTTTAAAATGGGTGATCTCTGATGGGGTTTCTTCTTTTGTCCTGAATGCGATATGACACGATGGTTATTTTTGAATGAGAAAATCTAACTTGTGTTTGAGTCGCGTTGTGCGAGAAAATGAATGCATAGACGTGAACCTTTCTTTATTCTATTCTTATTGACAAATTTTGTGTGATCATTCACCATCACAAGTCTAGATATACAGTAGTTCTCAATAAATAAATAAAATGGTGGAACGGCTCCTTGCGACGAGTAAAAAATTTAGACTTTGGAAAGGTACTCAAATTTCTCTGATGGAAAGTCTCAAGTTTTCTGCTGCAGTTTAATAAAAAAAATCGAATGCATCCGCATGAATGAGCCATGTTCTCATGATGAGTATACGAATGAAGTTTGAAAAAATTACGTTACATTGATTTTTATTTGAATTTATCCTGATTCAATCATGATTTAACGAAATAACCGGAATCGCTTTTTTATACTGCCGAGGAAGTCATACAAATATCGAAATTCTGTCTGTATACAATGTTTGAACTGGAAACTTTGCTCGAGATGAGCATATCCACACATTTCGAGATTTAAATAAAAGCGGGCTACTCCTGGACAGAGGGCCCAGAAGCATGAGAGATAGAGTGGAATGCTCGAATGTTAAGTTTTCCTTGGTTATCTCGCAGACATGTGTTCCAGTTCAGGTCCAGCGATCCTGGTTCACCTGAAATCATGAATGCTATCAAGGAGCATGACAATGAGGAATTACAGTACTGTAAAATGCTATGCATAGCATTGTATTCTGCACACAGAAATAGTATGCAGAAAAACATGAAAGTTGTCATGGCTTTCATTTATTCATTTTTCAGAGCACACTCGATTGAGCGTTTACTGTATTCGCATTTTAGTAATGCGACATCTAGGCGCAAATTTAAAATTGTAGTCTTGTAAATGACACTAGGTGTCGCTCTCAACTAAAATAAATACCATTTTAGGCGTAAAATACTTGAAAATACTGGTACAGTACTTCGAACGCAAATGACAGAGGGATTGTTTTCTAATCTTATAGTCTTACTTCGAATAACAAGCGAAAAGCAATATGGCACTTCGAAATGCCGTATTTCCACGTTCATGAACAGATAATCACAAATGACGCTGTTTTGTCCGTCATCCCGTGCGTATCACCTTTTCCCATGCAAAACCACCTTTATAGATATTTTATTTTTCACCCGACTAAGAATACCTGAAACAACAATCGCACATTTGAATTGACTTCGTGACTTATTTTCAATTCGATTACAGTACTATCATTTCTGATCGATTTCCTGATTTGCAAATACACTGAAGCGTTTCCCACATTCCTTGTCCCATTCGCTCAGATCTGTTTGCTTCGAGTACGAAGACGATCTTGGTAGTGGCATGAAAGTTAAATTTTTCTAGAGTCTCGACCAACATCACTCAATCTTTTAAAAACTCTCTGCTTACAAGGTTTGAATAAAATAAATGAAACACAGGCAAACCATGAGAGACTCAAGAAGTCATGATACTCATGCGTAAGTTCAGAGGTAGTGTCCAATTTGCAGTGTATTTTACAGTTCCAAATGAAGTTTTATCAGCTAATTGGTACAAGAACGTTCAGTGAAAGTTGAAGCCATTGCTAATTTATGTAAGTGGAGTTTTTATATTCAGTAAATAACAGTGCTCCTCATAGAGAAAAAATGTTTTTGAGTCAAGGTTACCACCAAGTCAAGATGATACCTCGTTTAAACGGCGTGCTTTATGCTGAGACGTCAGAAAAGCTTGAGCTTGACGAATGAAAAAACAATTCATCAATTATTTTTTCCCTTAGGCGCGTTATAATTGTATTAATCAGCCTGATTTTTTTTATATGGCCTACGAAGTAAAAAGACAAGGCGGCTCTGGGTATTATTGCATTGATCCTAACAAGAATCTAAAGAGCGTCTGTAAACCTCAAAATATGAGCAATTCATAGTCCTTGGAACAAGAAAAACGAGGCAAGTATATTCTTCGTTACGTCACGCACTTGTTGAACAACGGAATGATCGAAGGAGCTAATTAAAAATACTTCATTGAAGGTGAAGTATGAAATAATGCGAAAAAGCGGCATCAAATGAAGATATTGCTATAAAGCAAGAGAAGGATCAGCATAAATGGTTTATATTAATTGCTGTCCTTTCTTGAAAGTCGTACCAGTAAAATAAATAAGACGTTTCCGCTGTTGCCACAAAAGATAACCTTCTAGCTTCAAAAAATTATTAGGAATCGACGCTCAAAAAGTACTCATTCAATTAAACATGAATATGGTCTGCGAAGTCCTAAATTAAAAAAAAACTAGAAAGTGACTCTGGGTATTATTGCATTTATCCTCATTATGAGAAACTAAATATCGCCTGTAAACCTCGAAATATGAGCCATGCTTCGTACTTGGAATGTCGTACTTGGACCAACAATAAACAAGGAAATAATGTCCGATGCGCACTGCTTGAGCAATGAATGATTGAGAGAGCAAATTAAAAATACTTCATTGAAGGTCAAGTATGAAATAACACCGTAAAAATGGCCACAAATGAAGGTATTGCTCTGAACAGTTTAAAGGATGTGTTGGTACAGTATATTAAATCCCTGTCCGTTCTTGGAAGTGGTACCTGTAAAATAAATTCCGCTGTTAGCACGATGAAAGGGGACCTTCTAGTTTCGACAATTTGTGAGATATCGACGAGAAAAAAGTACTCAATCAATAAAACGTGAGTACTAATGTACGCAAACGACAACCTCTTATTCAGTGGTTTCTTCGCGGTTTTTTCTGAACCCCAGCAGGCTGGTTATAGAGGCTTCCCACCAACGGTTTTAGTCACCTTCGCAGCGCCGTCGCAGACGCCCGCCAAGCCGATCTCGTGTGATTTGAGGCATTTAAAATGTTGTTAACATGCTAATAATCGAATAAAAAAACTATAAATTTTGAATTGTAGAGATTTCTGGAGAAATTCCGGAGGAGTTTTCTCAACTCTTGAAAGCAACCTTTTCTCTTAAGCCATTCCACAGCCACGACATGAAGCTGATTTCGGTTTTGTTGTTTATACCGTGAATCCGTGATTAATACGGATATAAATATCCTTTCTCCAATTTTAGAAACTTAAAAGCTTGGTGTTTTTATATATATTTGCATGTATTTATGTAATTCTCGGAAATATGCACATAAATACCGAGAAATCTTCCTGCTCACAGCCCTCAAAACAATTGAGGATTTGTAAAATTAATTTTTTGCATTTTTCTGAAGAAGTGGTCTGCTTTTTTGAATTCTTTCATCGAAGATTTAAAAATTACCTAATGTTTAGCATATGTTAGAACTTGACCATGGGGTGCTTCGCGGAATTCGGTTTGTGAAACGGATTAGAAAGTGTGCTCTCTGGAAATAAATTTCCCAAAAATCAAAATTTAATCGATCGATTGACGGAATCCATGACGAAAAAATTCAGTGAACGCGTCTTTTCTTCAAGTTCATTCTGCAACACCAACCTTGAAAAAAAGTGTTTCAAAATATTAGATATGTATACAGAATATCATTTTCAGGTTTTGAGAGTTATCATTGCCGGTCTGACTGAAGGAAATCATGCAAAGACGCGTGAAACTGGGACACAAATCACAGGATCTTATTGAAAATTTGCGAGAAAGCACATGGAAACTTCATGTGCAGTGTTGATATTTTTGAATTCGCTTGCCAGGCATAAAACTTGAAATACTTCAGAAAAATTATCATTGAAACATGTTTGTATGAGCCTCTACTTGACTGCTTTTCAAAGAAATTATAGCCTTAACCGTTGAAGGATTATCGTTGCTTTCAAGAATTTGTCCGTTTTTCGCGTCAATATCAAGTCTTTTAACGCACCGACTTGATCATGGAGATGAATATTCCTGTTTCCTGTCGTTTTTTTGTTTTTAAACTTTTTCCTCTCATTAAGCTTACAGATGTTCGCTATTTTTTGCATTGATGCGAAAATAACGTCTATTTAATGTCAAGATTTTATCAAGAATGATCGCCGGAATGATTGTCGCGTTTCAATTTTTTATTATTTATTTCTGGTATCGGAACGTGCTCAAATGAAAAATTACCCCGTTCACGCGGAAATAAAAGAATGTGCAACTCAAAGAAGCTCGCAAGTACTTTACTTTCGCACGAGAACACTTTAGATCTGTGTGTTCTAACATCACGTTTGACGATCTGGGAGGCCCTATAAGTTCTCAATGCATATTTCCCAATGCAGAAACTAACAAAAGTATTCCGAACAAACTTTTTTCTTTCGCAATGATTAACTTTTTCTCGTTCACGCTTCAGTGGAATTGAAACGACGAACGTGGATGAGTTCCAACTTCTCCAATGACTGCGAAACTTCTTTCGATGCAAATTATAATGGGGAAAATTCGTGCTTAAGATTATACACAGCATTTAATCGGTTGAAGATTTTCTGCCGCTTTGGGATTAGAAACTTTGATATAGTGTTAGTTTATAGGTTGAGGGAAGGATTTTCTCCCACATTTCCTCAAAATTCCATTTGTAATCACGGACAGTGAAGAAATGTATGATTCACTCATTTATTGCAATGCTTCTTCAGACAAAGTGTTCATATTGCTCAAACGAGCTGATCGGTCGGCTGTATAAATAAGTGCATTATTTATTCAATCAAGTTGCAAATAAGCATTATAAAAAATCCGCATTATTACAAAAGCTGTATGTACTGGAATCGA